ACCTTGTGGACTTTGTCAGCGCAAATTAGCTCTTACAGTCTACAAGCTAGGAGAGAGACCTTAATATTGAATTGGAATACCATGGTTAGAATTTGTAAATGTAATATAATATTATATCAATAAATAACACATTATAATTATAAATTTATAATTATAGGTGAGATTATAGATATATCTTTTTCAATTGAATTGGACCTTAATATTCTCTTTTTTCCTCCTCTTGCTACTGGGTTCGTTTGAACCCAGAACACTAGGTTCGTTTGAACTCAGTGATTTGGGTTAAACAAACCTAGTTCTAGGTTCCGTGGAACCTAGCAAGATGGGTTCAAGGAACCCAAATTTCTAGGTTTTCAAACCCATGTTTATAGATTTTTTTTGTTTAGTAACTCTAGCAATTTTTATGCATATATTGAAACCTTTTGTTTGATGGATTTTTGTTTCAAATAGTGGTTGTAGGATGGTAACTTAGTATTATGAATGTTGCAAAATTTTGTTTGTATGTTTTGGTTTGACTATTTCTCTTGTGAGTATATGATCATTAAGCTAGATTAAAGTAATATGAATTTTCAAGGTTTTGATTGGTTTTGAGAAAGCAAGAGGGGGAAGAAGAGAAAGAGGGGGGGAGAAGGTTCAGTGGATCTTAGCTTTGCTAGGTTTGATCAGCAAAGGAGGCAGCAACAAGAGGAGGAAGAAAGAGAAAGAAAGAGGGGGAAGAAGATAGGTCAAGAGTTTTTTTTTTATTTTTTTATTAAAAATATAAAACTTTATCTCTATGTCATTAATTTTTCTAGTTGGATGATCCATGTCATCATTTTTTTCCAATTGAATTATCTATGTCATCAAAAAAATAAAAATAAAAAATGCCACGTGGATGAAATTAATGGCTTAAATTGACGAAAGACCAAAATTATGCAGTTCTTAAAGTTAAGGGATCGAAAAAGTGCAAAAAATAGTTTAAGGACCAAAAAAGTGCAACTCAATAAAGTTAAGGAACCAAATCAGCATTTAACCAAAATTTTTCGTTCCTCCTATCATTATTCATAAAAATTTATACAAAAAATTTATCTCATATTGTTGACCTTAACAGCCTCATCCTCAGTCTTCAGACTTTTGAGAATCTCTCTTGTATAAAAACACTTCAGTCATTCTGCTCTAAAAGCTCTATTCTGCTTTGTCTTGCCATATACACTCCAGTCTTACAATTTCTTCACTCTCTTCTTCGAATTCTATAATTCCCTTCTCTCCCCTCTGTTTTGATTTGTTTAGAAAGAGTGAAAATGTCGGCCGGCAGAATTGTCCCCTTCGGGAACGGCCCAGAGTACTCCGGAAAGCTTACTCTCTACGTCCTTGTAACATGTATGGTTGCAGCCATGGGTGGTTTATTGTTCGGCTATGATATTGCAAGTACAGGTATTTCTCTACACGGATCCAATTATCAATACCCTGATTTTTAATTCCTCTGTTTTTCTAACGGGACATGATTCCGGTAGGTGGGGTTACGTCGATGCCGTCGTTTCTGAGGAAGTTTTTTCCCTCGGTCTACGCAGGGCAGCAAAGGAACAAATCGACGAACCAGTTCTGTCAATCCGACAGGGAGACCGTTACTCAGTTCTCGTTGTCCCTCTATTTAGCGGCGATTCTAGCGTCGCTGGTGGCCTCCATCGTGACGCGTAGATACGGGAGAAAACTCTCCATGCTCTTCAGCGGTTTGCTCTTCTTCGCCGGAGCTCTCATCAACGGCTTCGCCACAGCCCTTTGGATGGTGATCGTCGGCAGAATTCTATTGGGTTTCGGCGTTGGATTCGCAAATCAGGTAATCCATACGGTCATGAATATCAAGGCAGTCAAAATTTTCTTACTCATTCTAATCCCATTTACTTTGAAATTGTCGGTTAAATTTGATCAATACTCTCAGTCAACTCTTATTAATCAAACATTGCAACAAGTTCACCTTAAAAAAAAAAAATAAAACCAGGCTTGTTCTTAGAAAACAAAGTAGTTTAGAGAACTCCCCTCCAATGAGGTAGAGTTATATCTATGTTCTCTTTAAAAAATAATAATAATAATAAAAGAAACACCACTACATGCTATAAGGAGTTAAAAGAATCAGGAAAACATCATTTTTTTTTCATTTTACTAATTAATTTGTGGATCAAAGTCTAGAAATTCCTTGTTTTTCTTTACGTGACATGAACGTCATGAAGAAAAATATTTTGTTTTTAGTTCCAAGATACATTGTCAATTTGTCAAACACTTTTGGACCCAC